GGTACATGTCACCTCAGGATGAAATGCAAAGACAAAATTTCTCGATACTTTAAATGACTGCTTCTTGGAGCAGCTGGTACAGGAACCCACAAGGGGAGAAGCAGCTCTCGATCTAGTCCTGAGTGGAGCATAGGATCTGGTCCAAGAGGTAACTATAACAGGACCGCTTGGAAATAGTGACCATAATATAATAACATTTAACATTCCTGTGGTGGGAAGAACACCTCAACAGCCCAACACTGTGGCATTTAATTTCAGAAAGGGGAACTATGCAAAAATGAGGAGGTTAGTTAAACAGAAATTAAAAGGTACAGTGACCACAGTGAAATTCCTGCAAGCTGCATGGACACTTTTCAAAGATACCATAATAGAGGCTCAACTTAAATGTATACCCCAAATTAAAAAACACAGTAAAAGAACTAAAAAAGAGCCACAGTGGCTTAACAACCATGTAAAAGAAGCAGTGAAAGATAAAAAGGCATCTTTTAAAAAGCTCATGCTCAAATAAATTGGTTAGTCTCTAAGGTGCCACAAGTACTCCTTTTCTTTTTTTAAAAAGTGGAAGTCTGATCCTAGTGAGGTAAATAGAAAGGAGCATAAACACTGCCAAATTAAATATAAAAATGTAATAAGAAAAGACAAAAAGGAGTATGAAGAACAGCTAGCCAAAAACTCAAAAGGTAATAACAAAATGTTTTTTAAGTACATCAGAAGCAGGAAGCCTGCTAAACAACAAGTGGGGCCCCTGGACGATCAAGATACAAAAGGAGCACTTAAAGATGATAAAGTCATCGCAGAGAAACTAAATGAATTCTTTGCTTTTGTCTTCACAGCTGAGGATGTTAGGGAGATTCCCAAACCTGAGCTGTCTTTCTGTAGGTGACAAATCTGAGGAATTGTCACAGATTGAAGTGTCACTAGAGGAGGTTTTGGAATTAAATTGAAAAACTTAATAGTAACAAGTCACCAGGACCAGATGGCATTCACCCAAGAGTTCTGAAAGAACTCAAATGTGAAATTGCGGAACTATTAAATATGGTTTGTAACCTGTCCTTTAAATCAGCTACTGTACCCAATGACTGGGAGATAGCTAATGTAACGCCAATATTTAAGAAGGGCTCTAGAGGTGATCCTGGCAATTACAGACTGGTAAATCTAACATCAGTAGCGGGCAAATTAGTTGAAACAATAGTAAAGAATAAAATTGTCAGACACGTAGAAGAACATAAATTGTTGCGCAAAAGTCAACATGGTTTCTGTAAAGGGAAATTATATCTTACTAATCTATTAGAGTTCTTTGAGAGGGTCAACAAACATGTGGACAAGGGGGATCCAGTGGACATAGTGTACTTAGATTTCCAGAAAGCCTTTGACAAGGTCCCTCACCAAAGGCTCTTACGTAAATTAAGTTGTCATGGGATAAGAGGGAAGATCCTTTCATGGACTGAGAACTGGTTAAAAGACAGGGAACAAATGGTAGGAATGAATGGTAAATTTTCAGAATGGAGAGGGGTACCTAGTGGTGTTCCCCAAGGGTCAGTCCTAGGACCAATCCTATTCAACTTATTCATAAATGATCTGGAGAAAGGGGTAAACAGTGAGGTGGCAAAGTTTGCAGATGATACTAAACTGCTCAAGATAGTTAAGACCAAAGCAGGCTGTGAAGAACTTCAAAAAGATCTCGCAAAACTAAGTGACAGGGCAAGAAAATGGCAAATGAAATTTAATGTGGATAAATGTAAAGTAATGCACATTGGAAAAAATAACCACAACTATACATACAATATGATGGGGGCTAATTTCGCTACAACTAATCAGGAGAGAGATCTTGGAGTCATCGTGGATAGTTCTCTGAAGACATTCACGCAGTGTTCAGCGTCAGTCAAAAAAGCAAACGGGATGTTAGGAATCATTAAAAAAGGGATAGAGACGGAGAATATCTTATTGCCCTTATATAAATCCATGGTATGCCCACATCTTGAATACTGCATACAGATGTCGTCCGCTCATCTCAAAAAAGATATACTGGCATTAGAAAAGGTTCAGAAAACGCAACTAAAATGATTAGGGGTTTGGAATGGGTCCCATATGAGGAGAGATTAAAGAGGCTAGGACTTTTCAGCTTGGAAAAGAGGAGACTAAGGGGGGATATGATAGAGGTACAGAAAATCATGAGTGGTGTGGAGAAAGTGAATAATGAAAAGTTATTTACTTGTTCCCATAATATAAGAACTAGAGGCCATGAAATGAAATTAATGGGTAGCAGGATTAAAACAAATAAAAGGAAGTTCTTCTTCACTCAGTGCACAGTCAACCTGTGGAACTCCTTGCCTGAGGAGGTTGTGAAGGTTAGGACTATAACAGGGTTTAAAAGAGAACTGGATAAATTCATGGAGGTGAAGTCCATTAATGGCTATTAGCCAGGATGGGTAAGGAATGGTGTCCCTAACCTCTGTTTGTCAGAGGGTTGAGATGGATGGCAGGAGAGAGATCACTTGATCATTTCCTGTTAAGGTCACTCCCTCTGGGGCACCTGACATTGGCCACTGTCAGTAGACAGGATACTGGGCTGGATGGACCTTTCGTCTGACCCAGTGTGGCCATTCTTATGGTCTAACAGGAGGGGGATATTTGATCAGACCAACAGGGAATAACAACCCCTAGGATACTGAGAGAAAGGGAGAAGAGGGGCCAGCTCAGACCTCAGGGAATGCAGCAGTCATTCTGTGGCTGCTGTCCTGCTCTCCCTGCCTATCAGATTTGTGCAGTTATATAGATTGACCTGTGCTTCCAAGATCCTGTGGGTCTGACTGATTAGCAGTTTTTGGGATCAGGAAGGGATTTTTCCTTCAGAGCAAGATTGACAAGATGCCTGCTGAGATTCTTCACCTTCCTCATAGCATCCTGAGGGCTTGAAGGTAGGTTGGTAAGGAGAGTAAGAAAGCTGTCTGTTTATAATGGGAATTTGCAATGGCATCACAACTTGTGGCCAGAGTGCAGTGTGGATGAGTGATTTAAAGGGCCCAGAAGTAAACATGAGTAAGAGATCCAGGAGATTACTGGGGGATGCTATTAGCTTGAAGGAAGAAGGGAAAATCTTAAATCCTTGCAGACAGAGGTACCCGTCATGTGCACTCCCATTCCACCTCTTAGGGGGAAAGGTGAGAAGAGTCAGAAGTGGGCTGAATCATAGGCTGAACAGGGCCAATCCTGAATATTGATTGTTTGTCATGAAGCCATTTAACACTTCCCTGAACCCAAATAAATGCCTGGGTTAAACGTTAATATAGTTGTGGTCTTCCACTTTAAAACTCATCTCTTTAGCTGTGTTTCATTCTCCTACCTGTCCTGGTCTACTCAGTATTTGCCAACAACATTTAGCACAAAAGATACATTAACCTAAAATTTCCCCCATGCTTAGAATCAGAAATTGGTGGGATATCTGAGTTACACAGTGTCTGCTGGCAAATGTTGACTTTTTAAATGGCAACCACTGCAAATCAACAATCCGTAGCAGTAGATAGATTATTGACTGGGCTTTTGGAATCTGTTTTATCAGCTAACAGATGTCACTTAACAGAAAATCTGGTCCAAAATTTTTCATTTTTTTATTAAAAAAGGACAATAAATGGCTTTTTTAAATAAACTAAATATTTTGGGGAAGTTTCCATTTCTTGTGGTTTCTGACAAGTTTCAAAAACTATAAAAGTTTTTTTTTTCCATTGGAAAAAATTGACAATTTCCATGTTTGGGGCAGGGAGTTCATTTCTTTTGAAAATTTTGACAGAAAATACTTATCATTTTCCATCCAGGTTTAGTCAGACTTTTAGACTTAAAAAAAATTGTTGACCAGCTAGAGGAAATATATTGAGAGACCAATGGCCTGTATTATACAGGAGGCCAGACTAGATGACCATAGTGGTCTCTTCTTGCCTGTGAATCTAAGAATCTGTAAGATGTAACTAATTATTGCTAACTAGGTTTTTTTTTCCATTTCTGTTATGGAAAACCTAGAATAGTTTTCACAACATTTCCACCAACTTAATTGAAGTATGTTTAAAACAAAACGAATTTGTGTTTGTGGATGAGATTACTCGGAGATAAGGGGTCACACATTTATGGTAAACAGTGGACTACTAATATAATAGTCAACTCTGTTTCTATTTCATTGTGATGCCATTTGTTTCTATTGTTAAGCCTTGTGTTCAGAAGAAAGACAGTGTACAAGAAAATGAAATTTAAGTACTTGTGGCACCTTAGAGACTAACAAATGTAATTTGAAATTTAAGTGTTATCATTGGGTCACATTCTGCTTTCAGATGCCTGTGCACATCTCACATTGACTTTATGGGAGCTGCAATATTTTTAGCTGCTTGCAATATTTCACTTTGTGTTTTGAATATGTAGAATTTATCTTATTGTAACTCGATGTAACTTTGGCTGCTCCAGTATCAATAAAGGGCATGATCTTACCATTGCTGTTCACAGAGAACTCCCACGCAATTTAGCAGGAATGTGGGATGCATATCAGCAGAAACAAGGCCAAGAGGTCTATCTTCTTAACTCCCTGCAAACATATTCAAAGCTATTGCCTCCTCATTATCCTCCTCCAAACCGTCTTTAAAAGTCTCCTTTTCCACCATGCTGACAAAAAACTTGACAACAGGCTGATTATTGTGCTCAGACCACTGCCTATCATGGTGACCAATATGGTCTAATTCTTTCCTTGTACTCCCTTGTCTTGTCTGGTCTGCAACCATCTGTTGTCTCTTGTGTTATTCTTAGATTGTAAGTGCTTTGGGGCAGGGACTATCATTTTCTGCTGTTTGTACAGTGCCTAACACAATGGTGTCTTTGTCCATGACTAGGGCTCCTAGGTGTTATGGTAATATAAATAATAATAATTAGGAACATATTACCATTGTTTCTTGTTTGGTAAGGGCTATGCTCTTAACTTAAAAAGCTGACACTTGGACTGTGAATTTGTTCCTATTTTATAGATATTCGTGGGCTGCAAGGATTTCTGGACCAGGCCTCTAGACTGGGACTTGATGTATCTTTACAAAAGGTGGACAGAAACATCAGCAGAGTTTTTGCCAGCCTTTTTACTACCATGAAAACTGAAGAGTTGAATCGCTACCGTGACACATTACGAAGAGCAATCTTACTTCTAAGCCCCAGGGGAGCCCAAACTTTCATCAATGAGGTCAGTGCATTGTTCTTTTTAGAATTGTGCAGTAGAAAAACATGCATGATATTTTATACAGTAGGGACCAAATCTTCCAAACTGGCACATCTTGAAAATGTGGACCTACATGTGTTAGTTTGTTACTAAATATCTTAGTTGATGTCCCGTTTCAGGAAAATGGTTGTAACATACTTTTGATTACCTAAATACTGCAAGTGAATTGAAAGACCAATACACTATCCTAGAAAAGCAGCTATATTTATCGGTGACTGTCAACTTTACCAAGGAAATTCCCAAATCCTTGCTAAAAGGAATTATGCTGTTCATGTCTCTACTACAAAGGTCTCTAGAATGTGCTCTCAGTGTGGCAGTGGAATCACAGTATTTTTACTACAAATACAGTTGCCTTATTTCTTTATGGTTTCTTGAGATCAGTGAAATTAATTAGGAACAACATGTAGCTGTTAGGTAAAGATGTAATTAACACTGTGCCAAGGGCTACTGTTTTGACATTAATTATTTTCCGCACGTTTTTCCAGTATGAGGTAAAGAATGACTTTGGATTGCTTACTGTGCTGAAGAGCCTGAAATCTAAGGTCAGATCCTCAGCAGATGTAAATTAGCATAGTTTTACTGATCTACACTAGCTAAGAATTTGGCCTTAAATGTTGTACCCTTTTGCTTTAATTCACCAGAGAACTGAACTGTGAAATTCAAACATGTAAGGCCTATTTCCAGTTGTCAGTGTGTTGCTACATGAAAGCCTGCTATATTAAACAATAAAATCATTTTAAATTGAATTAGTACAGTCACTGTTTGGTAGTTTTCTTGGCTCATATCAGCATTAATAAACCTTTCATTTTATGTTAAACTGTGATAATGTGTAATTATTTTTTGATGAACATGGTTAATTTTAGTGCTGATGAATAAGGCAGTCTAAGACCATGGGAAGGTCAAGATAAAGAGTCAAATTCTGTCCTCAGATATGCGCATGAAAGTCTCAGTGACCGCAGTTAGCGTTATGCATAAGCACTTGAGGTCATAATTCAGCCCGAAGAGTTTACAGAAAGCTATGCTCAGCTCAGCTAGTAGTCCCTGTCTGTTTTTTCATTGGAGGCCCACTATGAAAGAGAATTTTGGGTTGGTATTCAGATCTGTTCAAATGAAATGTCCGAAACTGGTACTAAACTGAGATCAGCATTTACAAATCACTCTAACCTCAGCCAGATATAAAGTCTGTCTCCTTTCAATACTCATAATTCCCAGAAATGCTAATAAGAGTTATACTGACAGGACAATAGCCCTGCAGGTCTCTAGACTTTGAGTAATGCATTAAACCACTTTACCACTCAGCCCCTCTGAAAGCAGTATGGTATTATACGTATTAGGGATAATGATCCTGGTATTTGTCCAGATCCCTGCAGGAGTATAACCGTGGGCAGAAATGAGAAGTAATTTATTGGACAATCTTCTTTTATTGAATCTTGATTGATTCAGAAAAGCTTTACGAAAGAATATTTAAATAATAAAAATCAACTCCCCAAAGGCTTGAGATATTTGAGTATATGCTTTAGGGGAGAACCCTGCATTGGCAGGGAATGAACTTAAATGGGACTCAATATGTCTCTTACATTTCTAGTGTCTATATGACTCTGTGGAGCTGTGTACTTCTATAATCATGTAAGGCATAAATACAGATTGTACACAATACAATATAGAGTGTTGAGTTGCAACTTTCGGATCAATTGTTTTTTATTTAATTTACAGAGATAGGTGTTCAAAGCATACAGAAGGAGGAGGAAACTAGTATGAAGGCAAGAAACCTACAGTTACCAAATTACACATATAGAAGGACTCATATCTATAAACCATGGGAAACAGTTTTCCTCTCCTGGAAAAATTTTCAAGAACTGAAAAAATATTTCACTGAAAAATTCCCAACTACCTCTGTTAACATCAATGAGGATACTAATAAAGTCCTGATTGAATGCAGGATAATGCTTGAGCACAGACACACTCAACAAAAGTTAAGATATTTTAATGAAACTTCTTTTATTGTAAGAGACATATTCTCATCCAGTATCTTGAGACTGTTCAATGACTACTAGTTGAAATCAGCAGATAGTACTTTGCCTGTTAATCAGTGCAAAAAGAGAGAGATTCTTCATTTTCTTTAGAGATGGCCCTGATCTAAAAAAAGTGGATCTAGATTTCAGACCTAGTCACCTCCTATCCGAAGTTCAGGGGTGTTTAGATCAGGCATCTAGATTTATAGAGAGAGGGACCAACTTAGGAATTCACATCCAGGTCAGGGTTCCGAAATTCCCAAAGCTCAGAGGTGTGCAGTTGTAGGGTTTTGTTTCGGGCTTATCTCTCATTGTTTTAGACATCATTTCTCCTCTATTGGCTTAGTATCCGTAACGTCCGGTTCTGTGACAGTCTGTGCTCACTGCTTATAGGTTATGTGATAGTCCATGCTCATAGCTTCTCAAGCTTTATTTTCTGCTGAGACTGTTGTACGAGAGAGAGAGAGAGAGAAACCTCTTCTGGGGCAGTGAGGAAAATGTGCATTGAAAGTCTTTGTAGACAACTGAATGTAGTGTTGCTTGACTCCTAAAATGTTTTATAAATGTCATCATCTGCAGATATTGCACTACAAGCTCACTTTGGGTGTTGAAGCAAACCTAGTGTCAGTGCAGTGAGCTTCCTTTTGGAGAAATAGTACATGAACTTCAATCATCAAGGGGCAAATGCCCTCTTCTACACATGCGGAACTCCCTCTAACAGTGGGACTGGGACTGTTGCACAGTTAATGTGCAAAAGTTGGGCTGCATTAGGGGGATGGGCACATAGAGGAAAAGGAACCAGTGCACAGGGAGGGAGGGAAAGGAGCCAGGCGATCCATTATCTGGTTGTTCTTTCCTTTGGCTCATCCACTGGCAGGCAGGGCCACAAGGGCTATCTCAGCCTCTGCAGTCTGGGTTGGGAAAGGAGAGGTCACTGGTGGAGAGGTCAGGAGTCCAGCCTGCTACTAGGGCTGTGTGATGGGTCCTTGGCTTTCCTCTTAAAGGAAGTAAATTTGAACAGGCTATTTTTTAGAGCTGTAGTTTTCCAAACATTTTTATAGCTCTACACATTCTTTTAACTTTGCCAGTTTCCATAGCTAGTGGGGAACGTAGCTTTTCAAAGTTAAAATTGATGAAAGCATACTGTGTTCAACAATGGTGCAAGAGAGACTTGTTGGACTTGCCACAATGTCACTAGAGCATGAAATAGCTGGAAAACTGGATCTAAAAGAACTAGTGACTGAATTTTCAAAACTTAAAGCAAGAAAAGTCATATTTTAAGAGCCCAAAGTGTTTTGTAAATACAGGTTAAAGTTCATTAAAGAGTTTTCTTATTTCTTTCTATATTGGATGTGGTGGTAATGGCAGTTAAAGCAGGATAGCATAATGGATGATTTTGGATTTGTAATAATAAAAAATTATAATTAACATTTTTAATGCATTTTTATTTGAAATTGGACTAAAATATCATCTAACTGTCATGTACAAATCTATTCTGAAAGCTTTTTGTCTCTATTTTATCTGATCTCAGAAACATTGGTTTGACAGACAGACAGGCAAACCGAATAATTAAGCCTCTCTTTAAATAAAACAAAAAACAAACACTTAAACATTAAAAGGAAAAATGGGCCAAAATGTTTCCCAGTTTACCAAAAACCTCAACCTAGATCTTCCCTTGAGGTTTGGGGGTGGGAGAGCCGATTGCATGCTTCTCCTAACGTGCCAGTTGCTGGCAGCTAGTCTAGGGTCGCCCCTGATTGTGGGTGGCCTTTACAAGGTTTAGAATCTGCTGTAGTATTAGTCTTTTTACTTAATACCATGTAAGGCGGTGAGACTATTGGCTGGCCTAAAGAATTTAGATGTTTGCTAGAATTTTGAATCTGATAAGTGGATACTTATGCATAAGTATTCAGATTCATTCCTGGTACATCATTAGCTTTCAATGTAGTTACGGCATTGATAAATTTGCCCCTGACTGTTTAGCTGTCTGTTGGTTAGGTTGTTCTATATACAAATAGTAAAATTAATCCAAACACATATACACTTAGATTTCCACATTCTTCATTGTTTAATCCTTTTGAGCAAAGGATTACAAACTTACCTAGGAGTGATCGAGGAAACTCTAGTAGATTTACTGATAATATTAGCAGCTAAATTAATTATAAACAAGGAGAAATCTCTCACAAATCTCATTTTCAACATGACTAAATATGATGCATGTGGCTATCACATGAATAGGTGGCAGCACACTATGGTGGAAGATTGCACAAAGTTAGTGGGAAACAAGATATTCATTAAACACCCTTCTTTGAAATGAAAACTCAGATAAAGTCATGGGTAGGCTTAATAATCTCTCATGAATTCTAATATGGCAGACATTTATTTTACACATATATAGTCTGTCTTGATGTTAACGTGAACACTGACAGTAATGCTTTACCTGTGTACCTGATTGTTTGTTTGTTGTGGTGTTTTATTTTTAATTTGGTTTGCTATATTTTTTCCAGTATTTGAGTGTTTTTCCATTAGCCCATGGCATTATCACTTGATATTGTTTTCTCTGTTAGATTTCTCTATTTGCTTATTTATTATAAAATCAAAGAGCTATTTAGACTTAGATCTGGGACCAAATTCTGACCAATTCAAGGAAATTGGTATAACAATCTCTCAAGTATGATGTAAAGGAACTGTGTGTTCTAAATCTTCATCCTAGCAGACCAATTTACCCTTGTGACTTGCTTAGAGGAAAAATATGTGCACACAGCTGCATGTGGAGATGAATATGAATAGACATATAGCCATCACGAACCCCAGACCTTAACCCAGAATGTACCTCTTGATTCCTGCAATTAAGGACCTGCAGGACAGCTTCCCCATAGAGTTATTGTGACACACAATACTGGCTGACATCTTTCCCCATTCCCACTGCTGGCCATGGGTTTTCTGGCACAT